ATTTTGGTTCTTGTCCCCCCCCCCTCGCCGCAGTTACCTATCGGCGCCAAAATGACATATTTTTCACATTTTTTCAATTTTTGTTCTCTTAATACTAGAATTGAATTATGTCTTTAAAATTATATCGCAAGTGTAAAACACATTCCTGTACGCAAAGTTCCATTGAAAACTTTGGTTCCTTTGACAAATTGTTGTTTGATATTTTCTAAAAATGCGCCATTTCGAGCTCATTTTTACAGAGAAATAATGAGTCTTCGAGAAAATTCATAAAAAATAATTTGAAGCATTTGCGTACAAAATGCAGTCATGTACACAAATGCTCATAATTAAATTTTAAAGTCACGAGAGATATTTAAAAAAAAATCCTTGTATCGTTTTTTAAAAATCAAAAGAATTCATATAAATGTCATGTAATTCAGTATATTCGAACAAAAAGATTTAAGGGAAAGTATGGGAGCCGTGTTTGACAAAATGTGCATTTTGAAAATGTATAATTTTGAGCTGATTTTCAAAGAGAAGTTTTGACTTTTCGAGAAAGTGCGTTAGAAATATATAAAGAAAATTATGCTTGTGTAGTTTTTGAAAAATCTAAATAATGCATAAAACTGGCATTTATGAGATGATATTCAATGCATACAGCTCAAAAAGATTAAAGATAAATTTTTAGTCTACGAGAACATCTTATCTGATTTAAGTTTTTGTAAAGATTGCCATATTTCACACAAAATTACGCAAAAACTATTCATATTTTGAAAACAATGTATATGTCATCACTTAAAGATATACTTTTCAATACCAGATTTTATTTAGAGAAAAAGTCTCAATGTTCTATACTGTAATTGTAGGAAGACTCAGAAAAAAATTTAGCTGGTGCAGTTTTCCATATTTCCGATATTCTAACAAAACTGAGAAATGTGCTGTTTCTAAGCGTTCTTTGCGCTATCCAAGGGCAACATCTAATAAAAAAAAATTGGAATCATTTTTTAAGAAAATTTTAAAATGTCAACGAGGCTTCATGTTAAGTACCCCAAAAATTAATCTATTGGTTTCCAATTTAAGGGGCAGCGACTTCAGCCAGATGGACTGTAACAATTTTGGTGAAAATCCTGCTTAGAAGAGCCAATTATTTGGAATAAACAATGAATATTGGACATTGGATATTTCTAGTAGAAAATAAACATAGTCATAATTTGGGATGTGGTCGCAGATAATTTATTTTTATTTTTAATTTGGAAGCGTCATAAGACAAGGTTTAGGAAAGATGGATAGATTTTATTTTAGGAGTAGGTGTCGAATCAAGATAGAGGACTGTCGGAAACGAGTTGTAGCAAATGAAATATATATATATATATATATATATATATATATATATATATATATATATATATACACACACACTAACAAAACGATATCAGACAAACGAAAACGAATGTAACATGTTTCATGAAAGCTATAAGTTTGACAGAAGATACCTGGTGACAGTCGCGAACACATGGAAGGCTATCTGGCCGTAGTAGCGATTTAAGCAGGCAGGGCGTTTAGATATGATGTGAAGCAATATCGAATAGGAGTGTCCATCCGAGGCACTCAGGAGTCATTTCGTTGAAAATAGTTCGTATTAAAAATAGGAGCTTTAGGGATATTAACTTTGATACAGTTGGGACATTAACTTAAATATCAACTTCAAGAAAGAAGAGCAGAAATTTACACGTGGTCATCGAGATTCTTACGGAAAAAAACTTCACTTCGGCAGCACGCAGTCTACGAGAACATCTTCAAAAACACTAAGCGCTACGGAAAATACCTCGCAAGATAACGTAATCATTCTTTGCAAATAAATTATTGGGCAAATCTTTAAAAAGTCTTTAATAAATAACAAAAGTCATATTAAATTTGATGGCATGCAAATGGTATTTATAAAGTAAACTTTTGTAAATGGAACCACGAAATAATATTATTAAATGGTGAAATTGGGTTATTGAAAAAGGAAGGCTGATTATTTTCTTTAATAGATAGTCCCCTCAGATCAATAATTTTTTAGTTTTTTTAATATAATACATTTTCAGTAATTACCTATTCCGTACTAGATGGGACGTCGGCTCACGTAAGTAATATATAATTACACAATAAGTAGGACAATAACTGTCACGTGGAAGTCGGGCACTAATAAATAAACAAAGATAAATAGTTTCAAGTATTATAATAATTAAAAACAGTTTCAAATTGACTTGCCCAGCTTCGGGCAAATGGTATTAATAAACACTTATAATAAAACAGTTTCAGTTATATTTCATGTTTATATAAGAGTGGTGCAAGTGGCCATTGCCAATTTAGTCTAAAATTCTGGAGCTAGGACAATGGAATCAGGCATTATGGTGCTTCCATTGTCCCCAGTTGTCCCCAAACACATCCTCTGGTGCATAAGATTTACATGGTGTGAAATTCGTGGGGGAATAAATATACTTCATTTCAATCCGGCAGCGGGGTGTCACAAAGCCACTGGATTTTCTTTTTTATCCTTCTTTCAGAGAAACGGATCCAGTGTATTGTATCACGGTACGATGTAGCTTCATAAAACGGCAACTAGTACAATGTATCGGTCATATTTATTTGTCCACATTTGTTATTAGAGCTGCAACACAAATTTCGCTCTCCGAGGAGCAGTGTACCCTGACACAAAACGCAAACATTACTAAATTAGCTAATGTAATTCTTGTTACATTTTATTGTGTTTGATGTTTTTGAGAACATCTTGAAAGTCATCTATTTATTTTTGTAGATTTCGAGAAAGTTGAGAAGCTCTCACTTCAATGTATTTGCAAAAAATTATCTGCATCTATTCTAATTAATGCACATTTTGTATTACAGTATTCATGGGTGAGATGAACATTCAGTCTTGTCAAAAGTTCTGTTTTAGGCTCCTAACGATGAAAATAATTCGAATGCAAGACAACTATTCTTTCTTCAATCGCCTTTTGAATCTGAAAATGAAAGCCACACTTTTTCAAAGAATGTTTTCGTAATTTTAATTTCGAGAATTTTTTTACATGATCTGCTTGCAATTTGATTCTCTATAGCTCACTTGAAAGCGTGGGCTTTCGAGTAGTAATGCGAGTGAGTGTAAACATTGCCAAAAGTTTCCATACATACTTTGGTATTACCCATACAAATTATAATTCATTACAACTACTTTTAAAAAACATGGTTTCCATGTACATAAATCCTCATATAAGCAAAAATATTGAGCAATAATGCGTAGTCCTTTGCCAACAGTCACATCTAAAACACAATCTAATAACCTACACGAACACTGATGTTTTTGCTCTTACCAATTTTTCGAAAATCGAACAAAACCACTTACGGGAAGACCGGACTAGCTCACCACCACCGAAAACCCTTTTGGAAGCAAAACTATCCATCAAACTAGGATTTTCTAAACACAAGATGAATCACAATACATTACACTGCGCAACTACACGTGTTTTTAAAATGTTCACTTCCGACATTACTCATAAAAATTATAATTTATTATACTGCGTATCGAAAATCACACGGATCGAGGTACATGAATCCTCATGAATGCTAAATTACACAACGGGACTCGAACCCAAGGACCTTCCGGTCAAAAAACACACCAGTTGACGCCCTGAACCACTTTCGCTAGTGAAAAATCTGTTCTTTAAGACATATTGTGAAATGAATTGAAAAAAGTGTAGTTAGTTTATGAGAAATAAAAATGTCATAAATTGCTTCAATTTCAATCACTAACGACTTTTTTTTCCCGAACATTGTACATAGCCTATTTTAAAGAGCTGATATTGTAGAACAGAATTTGTTTAAGTCAATCTTCTGTATCTTCACTTTTGTAGGTCTGAATTGTTAAATGTTTGCAATTTTCGAAAATACAGAGTTCGCCGGAAATGAGACCAGCACCACGTTTTTACCGTCATAACAATGCATACGCAAAAACTACTCATATTTTCAAAAAATTGTACATGATCTTATGTCATGATCTGTCTTTAAAAAGCAGATTTTATCAAGGAAAAAATCTGCATCTTTAATATTGTAGTTGTAGGAAGACATAGAAAAAATTGCATTTTGCAATTATCCAAATCTCTGGGATTTCAACGAAAATGATGCCTGTGCCGTTTTCTTAAGAGTTCTTTACTCTTTCAAGTGCAAAGTTTAATCCAAAAATTTGGAGCTATTTTTGAGAAAATTTTAAAAATGATGTTGAGGAGGGCTCAGAGGGCCTTGAGTTCAATTTAAATCGATAAGGGATTATCAATTTTAGAGCAAATCGATGAGCGGTGTAGGCGCTAGCGTTTATCACAGACGGACGTTTACTCACTAGTTTTGAAAAATTAAAATTAAAATAAGAAATTACAATTTCCTTCAGAAAATAGTGTCTGCGCGTCAACAATTGCACTATTATTGCACATTTTTATATAATTTATTTATTCATTCAATATTTTAAATTCTTACTTTTGAAAAGGTGTTACTTGAAATTCATTTCAGTTCCCAAAATGTACGGGATTTGGTCTATTCATACTCGGCCATTCCTTACTAGTATATGATGGCCATGGTTGAGGCCGTTTCGGCAACACGTCATTTTATAAACTTCATGAAATTATATTGAATGTGTTACGAAAAATATGTATGTAAAATATGAATGTGTATATCGTCAAATATGACGGATGTATAGGGAGTACCATTACCCACATCTTCTTAAGTGCAAAATGCGAAGTAAATGAAGTAAAATTTATTTAATTTTTTTGTGGCCATCTGCGTAGGGGTTTGGAATTATGTTAGAGCGTCATGTTTCGACCAATATTCAGTATTAAAGTTCCCTCCGTAACCACGAATATTTATCACGAAGATTCTTTGTAGGAATTTGGGGAACATTAGCGTCAAACAGCTGGTACTACTTAGTTTATACATATTCTCAATAGATGTCGCTGCAACTGCAATCTGACACCTCCCGTCATCCTCTGCGGCTTGTGATGAAAGTGATTTCGCCTTCATGGATTGTATGGTGGTAGTGGAGTGGTGTGTCGTCAGCTGAACCAATCTGAATGATATTGTATGAAACGGAAGGCAAACGCAACGTTAGTGTATAGGTAGTGGTTCGTGTAAAAGGCTTCCGTCAATAAAATGAACGAAGATAGGGATCGAGAAGATGATCCGTTTCGAGAATTATGGATTTCTAACTGGGAGCAACAATGTGTCGAACAGCTTGAAAGTGAACCTGATTATGAAAGGCAACTCCAAAGTGAACGAGACTTGACTAATCAAAAAGTGTGGATTTCCTTTCAGAATAGTGCCACTGCAGTCGCACAGTTGTATAAAGGTTAATTGCTGAATTTCCTTGTTTTTTATGAGTATAACTCCATTTCTAAAATGTCGGAAATGTAGATGTCTCCTTCCATTTTGTATTCTCGCTATTGATCACTTACGAGCTCTGTACGTTTTTTATAATATTTTCCAGATCGTCTTCAGGGTATGTCCTTGTGGATTCCATTCCAAACCGCTGCAGGGACTGTAACTACATTGTATAAAGGTATGTTAGAAGAGTGGGTGATAATCCCTTGGATTGAAATGTTGACCTTCATAACTAGTTGGTATGAAATGTGTTTGCATTGATATCTGACTTCCTTTAATGCTGAAATTTTTGTGTAATTTTCATAAATAGAGTCCTCTGAAGGTATAAGACGTACCAGTGAGTTAGGATTATTATGCGGTTATCAACGAAGGAATAAAGAAATCCTTAATTGGGCCCGCAAGAAGCGACACCACATCCGAAGAGAAGATCTTCTAGCTTACCTTGCTGGCAGAGCTGCACCTCCACGACCTCAGCATCATAGGTATAAATAAACTTTTTACTGAATGTGAAGATAAATTAATAATATTGTATTTTGCAAATTATTTGAATTTTTTGTTATTAAACCATACATGTTTTGATGTGCATGCTATCTTGTGGCTTAACATACATATATAATTTGTACATTTTCATTCTTGTTAGACAGTTCAGTACTAATGGATAAAACTGTAAAGTATTTTAGGGTTAAATTTCTTTCTTAAGTTTCAAGCATGCTTCAGGAAATAATTTATCTGGTGGTTGAATTGAATTTGTTTTAGTAATCATATTATTCAAAATTTATTTTTAGGTCATCTCCTAAACCTCGAATCATGCTATCTGAGCGACACAGCTCCCCCCATAGCCTTCAAATGGAAGCAAATCACGATCTACATCACCATGGTAGCACAGAAGACGGTGTGAATATTGATGATGATCTACACACTTTCAGGGAAGCGTTATCAGTATCAAGTGAGTTTGCATTTTCTGTGATGTGAAGACAAAAGTACGTTTCAAGGAGTGATACATTTTTACCATATTATTTGAAATTTTAGATTCTCCCATGAGTCGGCGTCAACGTTCATCAGAGCTTAGTGCATTCATTGCCAGTGAGTTTGCTCGACATTGTAAGCGCCCAGCACCTGCCAGCCCAACACATGATGTCAATATGGACTCTCCTACTCATAAACGTTCACGACTTATGTAATTGGGTGACAAGCGGTTACCTATGAAGGAGGCTCATACTTTTTTTCATTGTGCCTGTTTACAAAACTAGTTACGTATTTCAGCTAATTACAGATGAAGTTTAAGGCCAATAGTAAATGCCTTTTTTTCAGTGCTCGTGAAATAGCATAGAAATGGAAAGTTGGATTGCCAAGTTGCCTTGTGTTGCTCTACTTGGTTAAATCTTTTCATCACCAAATATATTTTTTTTTTTTATTGTAGTCCAATTTATATTTTCCAAGACGTGCAAATTGCTTTCTGTATCAAACAAGGGAAACAAGTGGATGCAAAAGTATGAATCATATCTCCATTCAAACCAAGTGATTTATTCAGAATCAGTAATACCCTTATATAATATGTAATTAGTATTTTTAGATGATGAGAATAGATATATTTTGTATTGAACCTCTGTATTAATTTATTTGAAATGTTTATTTTTATTGTATTCAATGATGTCAGTGCACTGATCATAAGTTATAATAACTTTATTTTTTCAAATATCTTGTTTGTTGTTATGACTTCATTCTAGCACTACTTGGTTTCACCTTCTACTGAATAAGTGAGAAGGGAGATACTGTAGTATATCAATCTTTGAATTTGTACAATACAGTCAGTGTTGACATGAAATTTGCTTCCATGTTTTGTGAAGAAACTGAAAATTCACTTTTCTGTATGCTACATGCAGTAAAATAAAAGACAATGCAGAAGGTTTTTTATTATTTTTATGAAAGTTGAATCATGCACATTCAGAAATAACTGAAAATTAGCATGAACCTAAGAACAAAAACTATTTTCATGTGCCTTCATAATAAATCATATGGCACCCATTGCAATTATTGAAGGTCTTCATTTACTTTTTTTATGTAGTGTAGGAAGGAATTTGCTAAAAACAATAGTCAATCAAATTGGGTTATGTTTCGTGTAAAGTATATGGAAACATTTGTAGTGTTACATTCTGTGTCTTCAGAATTGTATATTAGATAGTAGTATTTTGAACTATTGTACTTCTTTTAAAAGAAATTTACAATTTCTCTTTAATCATATTTGCATTTTAATATGAAATCAGCACATGAACAAGTTGCATATTTCTGCTGTTGATTTAAATTTTTATACATTTCTTCAGTGCCAATGCTGTGTAATGATTGCATTTGATGCATTCAGTGCTTTCTAGGCAACATACACTTAAGAATGTGCAGCATTTTCCTTTGGGACATTTAATGTATAATAGGAAAAAAATGTTGCACGCCAAATGTGATCTGTTGTGAAAAGTGATAATGTTTATCTTAGGCTTATGCTGATACAGGATATTTTCTAATGGTAACTTGCAGCAGTGAAGAATGCAAGCACAACGTATCAAGTGAAAAGTGGAATTCTTTATCATGCAAAGTGATGGATCAGCAAATGTTTTTCTATGAACTTCAATGAAGTCTAGTACTAAGTGAAAATTTTGTTTGATTCTAATTATTAAATTATTTGTGTAGAGTAGTAATGTTTGTAAAAGATACTTTCTGCATGCTAAATGATCTACAGTGTTTATTCCACTCATGTAAATTGGTTTTACTGCTGTTTTTGAAATGATAAGTTTAAGGCTTGGTAGTGGGTTAATTCCATTTCAGTCATTTCATCTTGAAGTAGATGAAATATGTTGCTTGTTATTCGTTGGTATATATGTTTTGTTACGAGAAACAATGAGTTTGCACGTATTGTCCTTTGTTTCATACAGACCTGTACAGTCAATTGATTGTAATATATACTAACAAAATGAAAGTGCATTGTTTTATATCCACTTTACATGGTGATTTTGTTACTGATTTCCCTCAAAAAATTTCAGGAAAGTACAATATGCTTACCAGGTAACTGTCTTGTATTTCAAAGGGATCTTGCCAAGTCGTGAATTTCTCCCCAAATGGCAGAAATGCTACAAATAATGTAAAGGCATTGAGTATCAAGGTAACCTCAAAATTAAGTTCAATGAACATTTGTTTAAAAATATTTTATTTCTACCTCTACTATAAACATAAATCCATCTTTGGTTTTACATTCACTGATAGGTGCTTTGTTTGGAGATCAAGAAGTATCTCTTAAGATGTCGTGTAAATATAATGGAAGCCACAAACTTGGCTAGAGGTAAGATATAATTAAAAGCACCAATATACACATGGTACAGCATGTAAAAGTATTGGAACCCTGGAATTATCATAGACATTGCAATGAATGATAATACTTAAAGATGTCATGAAGTTGCAGTCTGTAATACAAAAGGCAACTACTGACCTATTTATAACTACGTTGAAAGAATGTACCTATATACAATTATTTGTAAAATGTGTCATTCAGATATTTCTCATATATAGTTTTAAAACAATATTGAACTCCAAAAAAGTTGCTATCTGGCTAGATTATCATTGCACCTCTAAATGATATTGTAAATGCACAGTATAAGATTTTTAAAAAATTCCATAAAAGAAATAACATAAATTTTCAAGTTGTCCTGTGGATTGCTGGATTTGAGCATTTCATTGATCAAGTTTTAAAAAACATACATAGCTTGATTAAGTGAACCAAAAAAAAATTTACAGGAAATGTCAAAAATAATGAAATTTCATAATCAAATGAACCTGAGCACATTCAGCCAAATACTTCATTGTCTTTGGGGACATTGCACACCAAAATTATCTATTTATCAACTGGTTGGAAAAGGATTTTTCATTTCTTGTATAATTGCACTTTTCTACACACACTAATCAATGTTTTTCTTAGACTTTTCAAGAACACTATTAAAAAAGGCAAGTATGGTTATTGTGATGCCAGTTCCACAGCAACTATTACAACTTGCTATCTGCAAATTCTCCAGGGTCATCCATGGCTGTTTTTCTCCTTTCAATAGCGCTCATTAATTTCTTCATTGGGCCCATTTTCAGGCCAAGTACTTGGAAGTCATTTTCTTTCATGAGCATTAGAGCATCTAGATCTATTTCTTCTTTGACAAATACACCAAGATACTCTAAAAGACCTGCAGAAGCTAGGAATGTCTGGAGAGTAGCCCACTCAGTACCCAATCCTTCAGGTTCATCATCTGAAATTAAAAAGAAGCAGTGTTGTCCAACCATTACTATCTTCCACACATATATCTTTCTCAAATGATGTAAGTAGGTGGTACATTATTAACAACATTTTTATGTATTTTTGACAGAAATTACTGTAGAAAGCCAGCAAAATGAAACAGAATCAGTCAGTTAAATACAGAAAGTTAGCATCAAATTGTGTGTTGTGTTCCCACAGCTTCTAAAGTATGTAACGTGACCAAAATGCAAAGTTGTTTTGAAAAGAGAAGATCTATTTAATTTTGTCAGACATTTGAGTTTTAAAGATTTATGGTAATAAAATTGTAGAATGTTTAAATATTTTAAAATCATTTTAATTATTTTAACATTTTGTAATAAAAGGAATATAAATTATGATAAAGTTGTAAATGTACTATAAGTGAATATTGAAGATGTTATACAACGGTGAACTAACGTAGTTAATTAAAAAAAAGCAAGTTTCATTCAAATAAGGGGAGATAAAGAACCACTTTAAAGTACATTATTTTTACATGTAATTGCAAAGTTTAATAATTGCAGTAAACGTGGAAATGAAAAGTATCTCAGGACCCAGTCCCTGTGCTGTACAATTTTCATTTCAAAGATTTCAAATTTCAGGTAATGTGTGAACTTCAATGTTGAAAATCAAAATATGTCCCAAATAAACATGACACAAATTAAATGTTATTCTTTGGCAGTGATTCACATTGAATAAAATTTCTACAGCAAATTCAAAATCATGGTTCAACAGGTGAAACATTGAACTTTCTTTTGTGTGTAGTTGAACACAATAATGAAGAAATGATTGGTTTGCAAAGATTAGTCATTAAGTCACAAATCTAAAATGCATACATACATACATACATACCCATGAATTGAAAATCTTGGAAGTATTGTTCTGACAATCTAAACTTCCTCTCAATATTTGGGAAATGAATTGTGTAAATAATATATATTTTTTGTTATAAAAATGGTTTTAAGAGGACAATGTTATTTTAGATGAACAAGCCATGATTATTGATGAACACATGTTCTGTGGAATTGTTGCGTGAACGTGCATGCTTTTACATTTCCTATTAAAGTGCTTAATGCACTGAGCATACTCACCACTTCCCACATCATCATCGTCCCAAGGAAGATTATTATTTCTGTGTGCCAGGCTTCCTGCACTTCCAATACTGCAATCTTCTGTACCACTCCCAACCCCACCAACTCTTGCATCTGATCGTTCACTGGCTACTGCACTATCTTTGTCTTCAGGATCCATATGTGGTAGTGCATTGAGTGTGGCACTTATACTTGTTCTAAAGAATTAGAAAGGCCGTGTAGTTTTAGTATTAATGTATAGAATTCTACTTCAGAAGGCATTTAATGTGCAATAATAAATAGTTTGTATTTCTTGCATGAAATTCATTTCAGAAGGTACTATAAATTTGACATTACATCTTAATTGTTAAAAGATTTTAAATTTAATATTCTGTAATTTTATTTTATTTAAAGTGTTTTAATAATGTTTCTTGTTTATTTGTAGGAGTAAAAATAATTATTTCTTATTCAATTATCAATTTTTATTTAAAAGAACTCCAGAGGAATGTGTACACCATGTTTAAAGGGGCTTCTCTTTGTCTACTCTACAGGGTTAGAACTGAACATGATTAGCAAAAATATCTGGAAGCTGATGTCTATTATATCTGACTCTTTAAATTATTTTATTTATCTTTAATTATTAAAATAAATATAAAATATGCAGTCTGGTTTTCTTTAATAACAAACACGTCTGTAAAACATATTACTAAATTATTAATTATTTTGAAGCTTTAGTACCTGAAAGCAACACTCCCAAAACCTGGCCTGTCAAATATACTTGCTGGCTCCTGAAGGAGAATTTCATCTCCAAATCCACTGTCCGAGTTGTGCATAAATTCCGGCTCAGAAATTGCATGTTTTAGTTCTCCTTGTGTGTCAAAAACATCTGTTATTTTCCCTCTTTCTTTGCCTGGACAATAAAAAGAAAAACAAAGCTATTCAAACAAAATTTAATTAACAATACTCTTGCTGTAATTGAGTTTTCTGAAGTTCATACCTCCTTGTGTGTCAAAAGAGCCTGTGAAAATAACCTGCGAGTCTCTTCTGAGTCCATTCAAACTTCGTACTGACCTTTTTCCATCAGCTTCAACCTACGCCAAAATAATAAAGTGTATTGTTGAGAATTCTTATTTATTTTTCTTGTTAACACAATACCAATGTTTTCTTACCTCACCAACTTTAAAATCATCTCCATTTGTTTGACTGTTGACAGTTCCTTGAAGCTTCTTTTTGACTTCCACCTTCTTTTTAACACCACTTGTGCCTTTGTTTTTGTTGTATTTTCCAGTTGGGGGTGCTGTAGGACCTACTATGTCAGAAAATGATGGATTGACATTTCCTGTAGTGCTGCTTCTTGCTACTATAGTTCCTTTAGTAGGATTTTTCCCCATATTCTTTAATACTGTTAATACAGTGGATGGCCTGTGACATAATTGCCAGTTTTAATTTGAGCATTATAGTAGCATAATGGAATTTTTGCACATGCAGAGAAATTATGTGTAGAAAATGAACATTGAAAAAAAGGCTATGGTTTGTTTAGTAAGATCACATTCAGAGGTGACTGGCTCAGTAATTGTTTGTGTTCAAAACATAAAGTGATTGTGTTCAAAAAGGTAAGAAAGGTGAGTATTTCATTTTAAAGGTGTTTACATTTTTTAATTGCTGTTCAAGAAGATGGCATTAGTGAAATGTAATCCCATTTATGTACAATGGGAATTCTACCACTGTGTAACCCACTGGAGGTCCTTGCCCTCTATGGAATTGTAACAGGCTATAAGAATAATAATAATATTAATAATATACAACCGGCATATGCAATGAGAAAATGGTGGTTTTGAACCTTTTTTAAGAAACCAGAGCCATAAAAGGCCTCATGTGTGTTACTGCTGGAGAGAAAATGACCACCCCTCACTAGTCCAGCACCAAGACTTAAGTTGGAAAAAATTATAGAGTGAAGATGATACTGGGTATGCAATGCACAGAGCACATGCAATCTGCAACATACATTAAACTGCATCAAAAGTTCCCATTGTGCAAAAATGATGCATCTTAAGCCCTTAAAATCTGATATAGACAGAAGTTATGTTTCTTATGTCATATTCTAGAAGCTGAGACCTTTTCAGTGGTTCTATTCCACTTTACCACACTGAAACCTAAGTTATTAGAAATGTTCAAGTTTAGTTCCAGTAGAAAGCTATTTTCACTTTTAAAACAATGATATACAAGTGCAGAATGTTTGTACAGGTAAACGCTATAATGATACAATTTAAAATAGTATATTAAGAGAAGGGATCTAAATTTGCAATAATTAAAAAAGAAAAATTAATATCTACGACTAGGAAAACATTTGTCTCATTTCTTCCGATATGATTTGAACAAAGAGAATGCAACTTTCAAAACTCTTGTTTCCTGTAATAATACCTATCATTATTAAATACAAAAATGGTAGAAATTTGTAAAGATTTTTGTTTTGTAAAAGTTTTGTACGATTACAGTAAAAGTTGCTCAATGAAGAACCTCAAGGGACCAGTAGTTTTCTCTGTATTAGACAAGATTCTGCTGTATACAATGCAATACACTAGAAGTCTTGTTTGGCAGGACCATGATTCATGTTCACATTAGAAAGAATTCTGCATTATGCACATTCCATATTGAGCAAGTTTTACTGTATTAAAATGAAATAAAAATCCTTCCTTCATAGTAAATAATGATATACAGAACTTGCAAGTGCTTTTTTCTTGTACAGCAATGAAATGTAATTCATTATGTATTTTCTTACCTGTGCGGCATTACATTTACAGGAGCGTTTCCCATTTTCTCCATTTTTTCTCTTTCTTTCTGCAAACGTTTCTGCTCTTGTTCAGCCATTCTTTTGGTTTCTTCTTGCATTTTTTCATATTCCTTTGATAATTTTTCTGCATTCTTTTGAGCTTTCTGTTGCTTTTTCTGAGCTTCTTTCCTATAATAAAGAATATTATTATCACAAAGTGTTGATCAAAATGGCATTGCTCTCAAAAGTAATTTTTCTTTTGAGATATATGTATACACACACACACATACACATAATTAATCTCAATACTATGTCTCTGTTAATAGACATTTGTCAATAAAAGCAAATACGTTTTCCCTCCTTTTCAGAATTAAGAAAAAATATGCAGAGTACATTTTGTAATTTTATTTCGAATTTCTGATGTTAGTGTGCTATGTTTATGTAATGACGCACAAGAAATAATTTTTGTCAGTTCATATTGTTAAATCAGTGAAAAATTGTATTACCAGTTAGTTGCTTCTTCCTTTGCTGCAATACCATCTAAGAAGCGCAAAATTTCGTCTCTGTTATTCATTGCTGCCAGCTCTTTTGGTGTATGAAAATCAATGTCCATTGCCCATAAATTTGCACCAAAATTGGCCAGGAATGTGACACAATGCATGTGACCTCGAGCTGCTGCAAAATGTAAAGCTGTATTTCCAAAATTGTCTGCCTTATCAACTTTTCCTCTGGAAAAAAACAAAATGTAGGAAATATTAAAACGTGACATTAGACATTATAGTGGAAAATCAATGACAATTTAGTAGTAAAGGAGAAAGGTTAGCAAAGATGAAATATTTTTATATCAGATGTTAAACATTTCTTTCTTCGACATACTATCTTTATTTTAATCTTAAAAAAATATATATAGTTCTTTTATTGAAATCTCAGTGAAAATCACATTATATACAAGATAAATAATTTTGTAGTTTAAATATGAAATTAAATTTTATTCAAATAGTTAAAAGGTGTAGTTACTGTAACGTCGTGACATGCCCGCTGGACCTCACAAGTCGTGAGACCGGCGAGGGGGAGCGCTTGGCTATCTGGGGTCTACCAAGCTCAGAGGGTGCGGGCCGGGGCGCGACGTCGGAACGTAGGTGTCAAAGTCGGGGGATGATATGTGACGACAGTCGCGTCCGACAGCGGCGGCGGACCAAAATTTGCAATGGGCACAAAATTGGTTAATGAGGTGATGCGGGTCGACTTCATTGGAGGCCGGTCAGGCGATTCCTCGAAGAAGCGGCTAGCGAAGGAACGGCCGGCAGTCGAGTTTGAACCAAAATCGCGGTGCGGAAGGCACTTGATACCCGAGAAGCGTTATCGCTAGCTCTGGCTCCGAGGTGTGGCTGTTCGCCACGGGACGAGAGACCAGGAGCGGCGCTAAGTTTGCAGCTGGAGTCTGAGTGAGGCTGAGGCGGGTATGCCTCATGGATGAACACTTCTGGGAATGCAGCGCTAGTTCCTCAGGAATGAAATTATTGTGTAGAAAAACTTGTAAATAAATCTGTTCATAAGAACTCCGTGTCTGTATTTCATCCGACGACGTCACAATATAATAAGTGAGACATTTCATTGTTTGCTAGCAATTATCAGGGGCAAGGGTGCTTATTGAATGAAATTTGGCGATTCGTGTACGTAAATTCGTGGAGATTCGTGTAATCGTTTTTAGACTATTAAATAAATTCAATCTGTTCCATTAACGGTTATAAGTAAAACAAATAAAAGGAGCAAATAATTAACTTCAGACGATTGTATTTAAGTGTGAATAGTCAAGTCTTTTCCTTAAAGACGTGAATTTCAATGTTGCCCAAACGTTGGTCCCACTGTTTCGGAGTGACGTTTGCGGAGGGAGAAGTCAGTGCTGTCGTGATCGTGGGTCGGGTAGTCGGCGTGACGTTGGGTGGAACAGTGGGCAAAAGTAGTGTGCGTGAACACTTTTTTGCGAAGAGTGGAAGTAGTATGTTACCGGTGTTTTTCTGAGAACAGCAGTGATCAATGGTAAGCAATTTTAAATATGTATGGAAGCATGCCATTTCTTAAGTAAATTAATAATGATTGGGTTGTAATTTTAGGTAGCTAAAAATAAGCCAACCGGCGGGTGGTTCAGAACATCCACATCAGGTGATATAAATATTAGTGAATTATTTTTCACTCATCTAAGTAAAACGAATACTTACTTATTATAAATGGGGCAAAAATAATGCTTTTCTCTCTTTTATTTTATAGTGGAATCAATAATACCGCCCAAAATAATTTCAGAAATAGACTGAAAATTGTTTTACAAGTAAAAGGTAATAAGCATATTAAACAGTTTAAGGGGACCTGGACGTCATCAACTCCATTTTCCACTGATATTTTGAAATATAACTCAAATACTTTATTAAATATTGCAATGAAATTTTAAATATATAATCATTGTACTTTTTCCTCTATACTGTATTTTTAACCTCATGGCATGTATATTTGTGGTAAAATTAATAATTATATAATACATACTGAATTATGTCTAATTTTTATTTTCAGTACTCTTTATTCCAATACTAATCAAAATTAGTTCTAAACGAAATTTATATTATTAATTATTAACTTGCTACAATAATAAACCGCCAAGATTTTCATTTTATTATGCCCAGAGAATTAAAAATAAAAAATTCTTTAGCAGTCCTTTTATTCCCTATAAATTTTGAAAACAAATGACATTCCTCCAGCTTAAATTCTTTGTAATATTACTGAATAATCTGCTTCATTCGTTCACTAAAGTTATATTTTTGTAGCTTCAATGGTTTATGAGATAGTGGCACAAAAACTTATGTTATGAGAAATCGAAATTGAAGATTTGAATGTCATTTACGTCTCAATAATCAAAAGAAATTTTGAAAGTTTATTCACACAAATTAATACATAACCACAGTTATTTACACTAGTCACACTATTTACAATGTCTTGTTCACTGCCAACAAAGTGTTTCAATTTTGAGTTTTGAAGGCCTGGTAAACACTTAGCCCTAACCTCTTTTCGCTGAGGTGAAACCATTACCCCCTTTTCAACAACTCGTTTGTGTTGATTACTGTAAAATTTACCTTTACAATACAACTTCTTCACTCGGCATTTGAACAATCTACTATTGCTGAAATATATTTCAAAGTACGCGCGCGGGTAAACATAGCTTGTTAACAATTTTTATTGAAGAAAATATCAACTGCGAATTGTCCGTATACTCAAAACACGTTCTTCAAAGAGTTTAGATAAACTACGGAAACATTGGCATCAAAATTAAATACCGAGCCATTTTACTCGAGGGGGTGGAGTGGCTGACACTTGTCTTAAAGCTGGGCATTAAAAAGGCGTCGTCAAATCGGCTTTTAAAAGGCATTTAAACATGGACATGATAAACTAATATACATAAAGTATATTTTTAGAATCAGGAAGAATTGCTGAATTTTGTGAAATATTCAATTTTTGCCACCCTCATGGGTCATCTTAATGGATAAGGGGCTCAGGGGCTCCCTTTCGTTTTCAGGTTCCACATACTTTTTGTTCCGCCCAAATGAAACATTTGACGGCGCTTGATTGACTGTTTTTGCTAACGTGATTTCGAAGGTTATGATTTTGTGGAGTTGAGGTTTCGGAAAACAAATTTGGTTGGCCCTTCAATGTTTCGTCGCTGCTGGAAGTCCAGCAGGGTGCACATTGAACCCAAATGAGGGGGGAGGGGCATTCCAGGGGTATATTAATCCACATTAGCCGTCTCACTTGTAATTTCTCCTTCTGATATGTTCCAACAAAATGAAGCAAAATCGACGAAGCATTCCTGAGAGCGTTCAGATTGTGTTGCTTAGGCGAAGATGATCTTCGTTTCACCCATCAATTTTTCAATCCCCTCCTCTCTTCCCTGGAGTTTTTTTAATGTCCTCTGGAGAAAGTTGAGGTCTTATCCCAGATCATACTCCAGTTTGAATTGGCTTGCGATATCGCAAGATCGATGAACTAAAGCGAAGAACGAGTGGTGGCAACGAAGATATTGTTTCGAATTGATTCCATTTTGTATTGAATGAGAATGGCGAGTTTTTATAATTTAAATTATTTCAATTATTGAAAAAAGCAAAAAGTAGGGTCGTATCCTTTATCGTACCGAGTCAATTCCGACGGCACGAGATCGGTGAACGAAAGCGAAGAACGAGTGGCGGGAGCAAGGGCTGTTTACGTAGTTCTAATGTACTGTTCCTCAAAAATAGTATTTTGGCGTAAAAGCTTGCACAGAAGCAAGGACGTTTAATTTTAATCGCGTAGGGCGAAGGCCGGAGCCTCATCAAAACCTGAACATGCGTAGCGAAGCGTTAAAATTTCAAGTTAAAAGTTTTAGGGAAAAACGTTATTTGGCACAGAATGCGCTGAAAATTATGCATTGCACGGACTGGATTATAGTTTGATACCAGGAGGAGGAAGTCACGTCATGGACTTGACCACGCGGAGCGAAGCGAAGCGTCAGCACCGCCTTAAAAGTTTAATGATGAATTGAATTGATGCATTATTTTAGGTGGCGAGGCTGGAGCCATCAGGCCCGATGTTATAATTCGTCGCCATCCCCTTGCGGAACTGCTGGCGGGTCTGAGTTTTCATTCGCCATGTTCTCGGGGAATCTAGTCGATTATTTCACGTATGGATGGAAGTGGGATAAAAGCCGAAAACTGCTAGTTCGCACCCTGGCCCGGGGTCGAGGCCCTCTGTTACATGAAGGCCGCTGAACCTCGTGCCGCCGCTCGGCGGAAGCGGCGGGTGCGATGGCGTGCACGCTACACGGCGGGCGCCGGCGGCGTCCAGCCACCCAGCCGTCCTTGACTCACAGCTCTCAGTGCTGCCGTTCGTCCCAGGCTGACCGCGACCAGCCGTGACTCGAATGCGCCCGTCAGCTGCATTTCTCAAGGCCCTATCATCGGCACCGTCTTCACTCACTTCGTCGCTTTGGTCTTGCAATACTTTTGGTCGTTTCTGTTCTGTTCTGTTTGAAGCCTTCGTCGCCCCTGGTCTATGTTGCCCCAATCTACGTTTTACATTCCGTTGTCCTCATCATTCCACGTTCCCATGGACGTTTCCACTTCATCTTATCCAACGCTCTTGATATCTCCATTTGTAGAGTTGCCTCTGCTGATTCCATCGGCTTCAACTTCCCTGCTGCCTCTCAGACAACCCCTGGACATTGACTTTCCGTCGTTTTCTTCATCCGTTCGTAGACTGAATAACGTGCGCAGATTATGCTCTTGACCCATACGTCTCATAGTTTCTTAATTTTTTTTGCGAAAATAATTTGAAAATCAAAAATACACTATCGTCGTGCCCGGTGGTCTCTGCTGCTTTCAATGCCACCGTCATTACTTTCGCCGCACCCAATACCATTTGCCATTAGGGTATGGTCTAGTGTATACAGCTGCAACAAACAACTATGTGCGCGGGGCGTGTGACGCACCATTAAGGCGAGTTACGCAAGTGTGCGTTATCGCAAGGTTGCTTTCGTCATCAAATGTTTGGGCTCAGTGGCGGTCACGACATCATTACATGCACGGAGTTTTCTTATTGATCTATTGACTGATTTTACAGTCGAGTTATCTTTATTCTGTGATCAATTTATTGGTTTTATTTGCTAAGCCAAAATTAGATGTGATTTTGATGAGCCTATAGTGAAGTTATT